TAAATATCCCTGAAGGATATAGTGACCAATTTGTGACCGGTGGATAACTATTTTTTAAAGATCGGCGGCCATTTTTATGAATGTAAACAAAAAATATGGCCGTTGTTACTCGAGATAAGGGTTAGGCTGAGGACACACACCGACCATATGTTTGTTTTGAAATTGAAGAGGATTTCAATACAAACATATGGTATTTCGAAATATTTGACGGCGCCGCCGTCATTATTTTGTAAACTGCGAATGTAATGGGCAAGCAGTGAACAAACAACTGACCGACGTCACTTCAACCCCACCACCGAGTGATATATAAAGCAGCGCAAGCGCAAGCTCGAGTTAGTCGTTCGTCGATCGTTGCCCAGTTCACACGTTACGTAATCGCTGAGTAATTTTATTGTTGGTTTTATTTGAGTGTTTCCTTTATATAATCAGTGCTGAATTATTCAATTATTATATTTAAAAATTAATGTGAAAGTAAGTTCATTTAATCGAAATAAACTAAGTGATTGTGTGAAGCCCTTTGTTTTATTTTCAAATAATGTCGGACCCTGATCCTACATATTTATTTTAACACAATGTTTTGGTATACATCTAAACTATAAAACTTAAAAATAAATCTTTGTTTTTATAGTGTTTTAAGTTTTGAGTTTATCGGTTTTGCTTATATCTACAGCTATTTTGCCTTTTCTTTAATATTTTTATTTATGCACGCTTGTTAGATAATGGAACAAGGCGGCGGTGGAAGTCGTGGACGTGGTCATGGTCCTCATATACGTCATATACTGGACGTGGTGGTGGTGGCCGGGGTGGTCGTGCAAGGGGTGGTGGCACCCGTAGCCGTGGGCGCGGCGTCTGTGCTCGTGCGATTGATTTTAACACGTTACCTATTTTTATTAGTTACTAACACAAATTAGTTCTTATTATATTATTGAAATGTTTAAAATATATGTTTTAGTGTTACCGAGGCGCCTCCTGCTGTTGCCGGACCATCGACATCGTATGAAAACTTTCATTTAAATATTCAGTTTTAACATAGTATTTATATTATAAACTATTTTTATTTCAGTATTGCTAATGAAATAAAAAAGTATAGGCGTCAAAAGAACGCAGACAAAAGAAACATGGGCCGACTGTCACAAGAGCAGCGAGCACGGCTGCAGCAACTACGGGACTTTAAACAAGTCTCGCACTTTTTAATGCCCGACGCTCCTCCCGCCAAAAAATCCAAGTGAGTAAATTGTACAGAAAAAAAAATGTTTTCAATATTATTTTAAACATTTTAATATATTTTAGAAAATCGTTTCCGGTGAGGGTGCCGTGTTCCAATTTGGACCGTTGCGATGACGATGTGTTGCGGGAGATAGCCAACGAGGACATGTTGCATTTTAGTTGGTCGCATGATCCCGAAGTTTTTACGGGGCAGCGTGAAATATTTACTGGGGAAGCTGGGCCTACATTTCCAGTTGATGGAATGTCACCGTTCCAAATTTTTTCAAAAATTTGGGACGATGACATAAATGTGATAGTCCGAGAAACAAACCCGTACGGCGAAATTCTCTGCAGCTTAGAAAACCTTTCGAAGTCGTCACGACTGAGGAGGTGGACGCCCATAACGCCTCAGGAGTTGTGGACGTACTTCGGTATTCTGATGCTGCAGAGCATTACACAGCTCCCTGTAAGAGCGAGTACTGGCGCCCATGTTTGGCTTATTTGAAACTGGGAAACTTCGGTGACATTATGTCCTTCCACCGGTTTATAGCCATTAAGAGGTGTTTACATTTTAGTAACAACACCCTCGCTGCCAGAGGCATCCCAAATAGGCTCACAAAATTTAGGCCTATAATTGACCACCTAAACAAGAAATTTAGCTCTTTATGAGCCCTGAGCAGCAAATTGCTATCTATGAGTCGCTCCTCTTATGGAAAGGGCGGCTCTCTTTTGCACAACTAATTGCAAATAAAGCTGCTCAGGTAGATATAAAGAGCTATGAACTCTGTGAGTCTAGGACGGGATACCTCTGAAAAATGATGGTATACACCGGTATGGAAGGGCATAATGTTGGCCACGACTCTCGGGAGGAGTCGCAAGCCGTGGGTGCTGCATCCAAAATTGTCCATCACTTGATACAACCTTTATTAAATAAAGGCCATACCTTGGTGATGGACAATTTCTAGCCCCCTTTTGGCACGTACTTTAAAGTGCCAAAAGACTGATGTAATTGGTACGTTGCGCCTGAACCAAGAGTTCGTGCCCGAAAGTTTGCAGCGTAAAAATAAGGCAAACATGCGCACAGGGGAAGTGGCTTTCAGCCAAACTAAAGACGTCACGATTGTGGTGTGGAAAGATACCAACGTGGTATCTATGATATCAACATACCACAAAGCAGAAGTCGGCGGAAAAGAGAAATACGGCTATTTTAAATATAAACCCAAAGTAGTTTTGGACTTATAATCTTTCTATGGGAGGCATTGATAAAAAAGACTAAATGCTGCAAGCATTTCCCATAGAAAGGGTCCGAAACCACATTTGGTACAAAAAGCTTTTCCGCCGGCTTCTGAATGTATCGATCCAAAACACATTCGTGATGTTCTCGAGTGTGGTTACAGCCATGAGGCAGCGGGCGTTTCGAGTACGATTGGCGGATGAAATTTTGCAGAAGTTTTCTCCGCCAATAATACGGGCGCCTCCGGCCACCAACCACTTCCCTGCCAGGAACGCCTCAAAAAGATCACGTTGCAATTGGTGGTCACTACGAAAAAAAGATACATGCACAGTGTGGAAGTGCGACACTTGCAACGTGAATCTGTGTATACAGGGTTTTTTCAGAGACTATAACACAGCTGTGTAGGTCCAGGTTTTTTTGGGATAATCTGGTTAACGAACAGACGGATTATCTGATGGTAAGCAATCGGCGCTGGCCATGGTCACCTGAAAAACACCAACTAACGATTTTTCAAAGATTTTTTTTGTATTTTTTTTTTGTGTAGTTTCATTTTCATCCAATCCAATCAGGAGTTCATCCAATCCGTTTTTCTGTATGAAATACGTGGAACTAAAAGGCACTTAAAGAATTGACTGGCACGAAGAACTGGATCGTAAAAATGAAAGACGACCGAGGAAAATTCGATCACAACAGGGTCGACATATTAAAAACAGCTACGTCATTCTACAAAAATCTATATCGAAACAATACTACGCAAGCAGAAATGAATCCAGTGGAAACCTCGAACATCCCCAGTATTCTTGAAGTTGAAGTCAGTAAGACGATCGGATACCCAAAAAAGGAAGAAAGCACCCGGACCTGACGGCATAAGCAATGAAATTTTAAAATTTAACAAAAATACTTCAATGATATCACGAATACTGAAATCATCCCCCAGCAATGGACCAAGTCGAGCCGATAGTCATGTCGGCCAATGGGTTAATCCCTAAAAGCCTCGACATCCATCTCAGGAGGCTGGCGTGGATGGATCAAGGGCCTGATACAAAAGGCAGTTCTCCTAGAAACGGCACGTATCGTGAGGAGGTTTCTGTCTGTGGAGCCCTAACCACCGGTAGCTTGGACCATACTCCCGCTACTGGTCGGCTCCTATTTTTGTTTATTGTAAGTAGTATTTAAAATGTAAATTGTGGAGAATTTTAAATAAATATATGTGAATAATAATAATATAGCCTTCTATTTCCGAAAACTTATAAGATTTGTAAGATTTAATTACTATTTCTAAAAATCTTATAACACGCATGCAGTTACAGAATGTTTCTGATTTCGGTGTGCCCTACGACAAAGGTCTCCAACTCCAACTCTTTCCAATATTGCCTGCCCATGGCTACTCTTGTCCAGTGAGCTCCTGCCGTGAGTTTCAGTTCATCCTCCCACCTTCTTACTTTCCGTCCTCTACTCCTGACACCATCCCTTGGGTACCAAACTGTCATCTATTTGCTCCATTTTTTTTTTGCATCGAATCTTATGCCCAGTCCACCTCTATTTAAGTTGATTAATACGTGATAGAATATCTGTTAGTTTAGTTTGTGCCGTATATCTGTACTTCTGTCTCTAAAGATTGGTTTATAAGATATTGGTTGACAAAAACCGATTGTGCTATGCCTCCCGATACTTCAACCAGTAAACACAGAAATCCAGGGAAAATTAAAGACCACAAACATATTGAAAAATTTTTAGCAGATCTTCCCAAGATTTACAATACAGTCGGGCTAAAACATCACGAGAATATTTAGAACCAATTTTCTCAAACATGACACAGCTCTATCACGCAAAAATCCGGAGGTTATACGCCGTGCGGTCAATGGCCCTCTACGGCGCCCCTGTTTGGGCGCCGAACCTGTTGCGGCGAACCCGCTCGGGCGCTGCTTATGGCACAGAGGGCCATGGCGATCCTAATGATCCGCGGATTCCGCACGATCTCTGGGGAGTTGGCGAACCTCCTTGCCGGATTACCGCCGTGGGATCTGGAGGCGAAGGTGCTCGCGCGCGTATATCGCATGCGCGCGGAGGCACGTCGCCGGGGCGAAACTCTGCTGCCGCGCCAGATAAGTGCGTGGTGGGATGAGCTCTGGCGCGATCTCATGGCGGAATGACAGCAACGACGCTACGGCGTCCTCACCTACCGCCTGACGCAGGTCCTCACCGGACATGGAAGTTTCGGGAGGTACCTATGTCTGATGGGGCGGGAGGAAACGTTCAAGTGTCATCACTGCGAGGACACGGTGGAACACACTGTAGCGGAATGCCCTGCGTGGGCTTTGCGCCGCCGTGCCCTCAGGGAAGTGATTGGCGATGGCAGAGGCGGATTATCCATAATGCAAACTAGGCACGTGCCTAGGGGCGTGTAGTTACAAGGGGCGCGGGATCTCAGAATTTTTAAATAAATAAAGACAATAACATATCAACGATTAAGAATTAAATGCTGATCTGTAATAGATTATATTGCACAACACAAGCATCGATATACTCGTATTATGCAATATTGCGCGTTTGTTGCGTCGTTGCGTCGTTCTCGAGCGTCGGATGTTACTTTGCATGCAATAGATTCCGGAGATCCCTGCCGCCGGGGTAGAGGCGCGGCTAGCGCGGGGGCGGCAACTAAGTTTTGTCGTCACGTAGTCAGTCAGTTACGCGCGCTTCGACGCTCCTATTGTTTACTTTCTCGCTGTGGTATTTGTGTGTATCAATTACCTTTTAGAGTATTTCTCAAAGAATGAGTGAATTAAAAAAGAAACCTAGTAGTGCATCATATAAAAAGAAAGCTAAAGAAAAAGAAGAAAGACATCAAAATGTAATAAAGCACACGAAAAATATTGAGATTTTTTTTTCCAAACCAAAAAGTGATGATTCGGAATTGTCTACCGCAATTATTATTCACAGTGTGTCTGCTACCGACCCTGTTCAATGCGAAACTCCTACTAGTTCTATACAGCCACCAGATTTGTTCGTTCCCACGCCGTCTACTTCGTCAGCACTGTCAGCAGTAGATGTTGTGCAGCAGTCGCAAAATACAATAATTATCGTGGATTGTGACCCAGCCAAGTGGAGTATCAATAACGAAACACAAGAATATATTGCATCAAATGGTTTCAATCAAAATATCAACGTAGATTTTTCATTGAGTAAGAGAATATACCTCGAAGATAAAGTCTCACGTTTTTTGACAAAAACAATGTTTGAACGGAAATTGTTAAACAGAGAAAAACGTTCAAGAAAATGGCTTATCTACTCTCCTAGCACAGGGAAAGTTTTTTGTGGACCTTGTTTATTATTCGGTGGTGGAACTAGCTTTGGAAAACAAGATGTAGGTTTCAATGATTGGAAGAACGCGTCGATTAGATATAGCCACGAAAACTCATGTGAACATAAAACATATGTTTCGGCTTTGCAACGGAGATCTGACATTGGCGGTCGTATTGATCATGAGCTCGTCGCTCAAATTCAAGAAGAGCTAACTTATTGGCGTGAAGTTTTGAAACGAGTGGTTGCGACTGTAAAGTCTTTATTAGCATCGCGTGGATTATCTTTTAGGGGACATGAAGAAAAACTTGGGTCTCTTCATAACGGAAATTATTTAATGACGCTGGAACTCATAGCGGAGTTTGATCCGTTTTTAAGTAAACATATTGCTCAATATGGCGGCAAGGGAAAGGGATGTACCAATTATTTGAGTTCTACAATATGTGACGAATTTATTGAGTTGATGGCAAAAAAAGTTTTAACACAAATAAAAGATGAAATCAAGATATCAAAATATTATTCAATGATAGTGGATTCAACACCAGATATTTCCCACATTGACCAATTAACTCTCGTGATCCGGTATGTTAAAGCGGATGGTACGCCCGTTGAACGTTTTCTGAAGTTTATCGCACACGTCGGCCACAAATCACAAGACATGGCAGATGCTATAATTAAAACATTAGACATGTTTGAAATTAATATATTGGACTGTAGAGGCCAGTCGTATGATAACGCTGCAAATATGTCTGGCATATACAATGGATTACAGGCGAAAATAAAAGAACTATGTTCCCTAGCAGATTATATACCCTGCTCCGCACATTCACTGAACTTAGTAGGTGAATGTGCCGCTGAATGCGTTCAAGAAACTTGTTGGTTCTTTGGTCTTGTAGGGGTTAGGTATCGCATAGAACACACACTGTAATAGCTTAAGGTATAAACATGTAATCGCATTGTGCGCATGACACACTCGTCGCCTGTACACCATAGAGACAATACATATTCAGTTCAGTTCCGTAACATCTGTTTTATTTATCTCCTATAAAGTGAGTGACACAGTAAGAACCTAAAGTGGTGACCCCGCGTTAAAGTGAACAAGTTAGCAACCTCAATATTTTTTAACTGTCTGGTGTAACGTGTCAAGATGACAAATCCACATCCTTCAGCCGCATCGGAACTGGCAGCAATCACCTTGACTTCCAAAATTTCTGAGTTTTGGACAGATCAACCCAGAGTATGGTTCATCCGCACCGAAGCAATGCTGGCACCACAAAAACTTTCCGACGATGCCAGGTACGATATTGTTGTATCTAAATTGAGCAAAGAGGCTATTCAACAAGTCACAGATTTATTAATAGAGCCTCCGCCAGTAAAAAAGTATTGATACCTACGTGCAATAAACCGATTTATTGCGACATATCTACTAAAATAGTTAGACCGTATATTCCACTAAAATTTAGACGTATCGCTTTCGATAGCATTCATAATTTGAGTCATCTAGGCGTACGTGCAACTCGTAAATTAATATCCAGTAAATTCTTTTGGCCAAATATGAACATTGACATTAATAAATGGTCTAAGTCATGTCTCAATTGTCAAAGAGCCAAGGTCAACCGGCACACTATTTCGAATTTAGAAAAGTTTCCAAATGCAAATCGGTTTGAACATATTAATATTGACATAATCGGCCCTCTTCCAATTACACAAGAAGGATATAGGTATTGCCTAACCATAATCGATAGGTGCACACGCTGGCCAGAGGCATTTCCCTTACGAGATGTAAATGCTGAAACAGTCGCTAAAATATTGTACACGGACTGGATCTGTCGTTACGGTTCTCCTGTAAAATTGACGAGCGACCAAGGACGTCAATTTGAAAGTTCCCTTTTTAGACAACTTTTAAAGTTATTAGGTATTGAGAGAATACGGACTACAGCCTACCATCCTCAGGCCAACGGAGCTATCGAACGATTTCATAGGACACTAAAAGCTGCTCTAATGGCACGCTTGAGCACTAAGTCATGGGTTGATGAGCTACCCACTGTTTTGCTAGGCCTCAGAGCCGCCAGTCGTAGTGATACCGGAGTATCAGCGGCACAATTAACATTCGGACGTACACTGCGATTACCCGGCGACTTCTACGACGCTACAGGAGTAGGTTTATCAGAGCCTCATAGCCTCGTAGAACGAATAAGGGAGAATATTCAATCGTTAAAGCCAGTACCAGGACCGCATAGTAATTCACGGTTATATTTTGTGCATCCAGATTTATCCAAAGTAGAATATGTTTTCGTCAGAGATGACTCTGTGCGTTCACCTTTAAAACCACCGTACAGCGGGCCATATCAAGTTTTAGAGAGAGGTCCAAAGGCTTACGTTATCCAATTACCCGGTAGGAAAAGCAACATTTCTATTGACCGACTAAAGCCCGCATATGTAATGGTTCATAAAGAAACGGAAAATGTTAGCGATAGCACACAAAGCTCACATCAATTAGCACCTTTTATACAAACAGGAGTCGAACCCGCACACGTTAGTACAGATGCGAATTGCACCACTCGATCTGGTCGTACAATTAAACGGCCAGTGAGATTCAACGAGTAAGCTTTTTGTCAAATGTTAGCACATCTATTACTATGACTACACCTTTATATTATTTTACATTAAGTTAGTATGTAAGCAGATTTATATTATAAATCTTTAGTTTAGTTTTTTGCTGTTATTTGCTTTAGTTTTTTGACACATTTATTACTTTACATTACTTTATACATATACTAAGGAGTTTTAAACTTAACTTTACTTAACTTTTAACCTTATATTACTCAAAATGGGCAAGTCATACAGCAAACAGGAAGAGATTATTATTGCTCAAAACGGAGCAAATAATGCAAGCCAGACCAATCTGGAGCAGAAAATAGAGCTATATGGTATAGCCCTCTTTGGATTACTCGTTATTGCCCTTATATTAGTTTTTTGCTTCCTGTGTAAGAAATGTCAGGCAAGAACAACAAAATGGGCTCGGAAGGAGTTGGTTTCAGCAGTTTCGTTGAGCCAGGTGGACAAAACCGCTCAACAACCTGCAAGTGTCCCATATGAGTAAATATCGATTAACAAGGCTATGTTCAAGTGTAACAAGTGTAATAATTATTTTAGTTTAGTAATATAAGAACTCTGATCTATGCATATGTTTATAATCATTGTGTTTATAATAATTGTTAAATGTAATTGTAATATCGTGTTACGCTTTCTCACATGGATCAATTGCGTTATCAGGTACAAGCTTACCTACGTACACCGGCAACCTATCTATGTAACTAAAAACCATGTTATGACTAACATAATATATCTAGCAGGTACTGATGATAATGTTATTATAACATGTGTGTCATTTGATTGTATTGCAACTTCGCAAAAATTATGTCACACGCTGCTCATAATTACTTGTACTAGTTGTACTCGTGTGTTAATTTTTTTTCTTTCAAACAATATCTTTTGTAAACATTTTTTTCCTAAAGGGAGGTTGTAGGGGTTAGGTATCGCATAGAACACACACTGTAATAGCTTAAGGTATAAACATGTAATCACATTGTGCGCATGACACACTCGTCGTCTGTACACCATACCTCTAGAGGCAATACATATTCAGTTCAGTTCCGTAACATCTGTTTTATTTATCTCCTATAAAATGAGTGACCCAAGCATAACCGAAACTTTTATTTAGGCATAGAGTAGATCCGTTACCGGATTCACATTTCACTTGTTTAATTTCTAACTCGTTCATTCAATACTCTATGGTTCGTAGGCTGTATGGGCTTAGATTTCTTTGCTTTTCATCACAGAAAAATTATACAAAAAAACAACTCTATACTCTATGGTTCGTTCGTTGTTGTTGTTACTTGTTGTTTAAATATTTATCGATTTTCTTGATATATTATTATTTGATTTCTTGATATGTAAACATATTCAGCACGGCACTCACTATTATTCTGTGTTTGTATCGGAATTTGAGTTATTATCAAAAGAATGCCGCCTACCAAGAGTGAAGTTTGGCAGTATTTCGTCAAGATTAACAACGACGAAGTGAAATGTAAAATTTGTTTTAAAAGCTTAAAAACGTCAGGGAAGACGACAAACATGATTAAACACTTAAAGAAACACCCTAATCTGATGCCTCAAGGTAATTTGGTGTTCCTTGTAACATAACCTAAAATAAGTTTTATAGTATTTTATAGGCGCACGAAACTAATTATTTTATGTATTATCTTTTATCTTTTTAGTGTAAAAGGAGATGAAAAACTAAACGACGACTCAGAAAAAGTTAGAACTGCCGAATTTACCGAGTCGTGATCACGAACCCCTACCATCAACAAGTATATCGAAAGCACCTAACACTCAGTTGCACGAAAGTGTCCATAATGTGGACATTAACTAATGCACCTTTAAAGTTAATGTTTTCATTACGTTGATTGTTGTTGCACGAAGCCACATTAGCTTCGTAGCCTCCTTTCATTAACTAATCAGCAGTTTAACGGAATCATTAAATAAAGAGTGAATGAAGTGAATGATTACGTTCCGTTACAAGTATAAAATCATAATATTCTTGAAAAACGAAACGTTTTATGAAACAAAATGACGTTTATTGCAAAGTGACAATGACATTTCAATTTGTTTTCATTCGGAATTCGGTGTTCGTGCGTTTGTTTTTGTTGATTTAATATAAATTAAAGATATGTCAGCCCAAAGAAAACGTGGTTGTAATTACACAAATGAAGAAACTGCAAAACTCCTGGAGCTTGTGGAACAGTAAGTATTATACCTATTAATCGACAACAAAAACACCACGCTATCCGTGTAGTGAATGTGTTTGGCAAAATGTTAAGTTCTAGTCAAGGTATGTAGGTCTATTCATTTACATTATTTGATTATTTTCTATGTTTTAAGGCATCGCACTTCAATAGAAGATAAAAGGACGGGTGCCATTTACCTACGCCAAAAACAAGAAGCGTGGGATAAAATTTGCCTTGCGTACAACGCTGTGGCAACAAGTGGTGTGCGTACTGTCGGACAACTTCGAGTTATGTACGACAATAAAAAACAAAAGGCCAGAAAAGCCCTTGCTTTTCACAACGTGAGAAGCTTTTTACTATATATTATTGTTCAATTTTAACATTTAGTGGGAACAAAATCGTTTAATTGCATTATTTGTTTACAGAAAAATGAATATATTAAAAACAATGTTGTGT